AGGATTAGCCACATTCTATGAAAAATATTGGGTTATTTTTCTATTACACTTATTAGAATCCTAAGGAAAGAGAGATAAACATATATATAGTATTATATATATACTCTTTTTAGACACATCCAGGACTTTGGTGGATGAAGGGGTTAGTTGTGTGTTATGTGTTCACCCTAATCTTAGAAAGTTCAAGATTCGTTCACTTATCTAAGAGAAGAATTACTCATCATCACTATGTACTAGTTCTCGACATGTTCACTAGTGCTTAAGCAACTAATCTCGCTATTTCTGTTCTTGTGTTTTAACTTAATTACTCTCATTTTTACGAAAGAATTCTTTCGCATTAGTGGGGGAATGTTGGTAATGCTCAAAGTGTAACATATTTCTAAATGCCATTTAATTCTATGTTTAATAGAATTAAATTGTTCTTTGAAAATGATGTTAGTGGACAATTTTCATTCTTTTTGAGATATCCTAAGCAATTTGTGTATGCTTTGAAACACTATTTGGAAATTTTCCTTGTGCATTGTTTTTGAGTCGAGAGAAGAGCAGTACCACTAAAGTCTACTCCATCTTTCGGGTGTACAGAATTTAGAGAGCCATGTTAACCTCGGGGGGCCATTCGTCCATTGTAGCAATTTCATACATCGGGACGAACTAGCTTCTAAGATAGTGGATTTACCATGACACGACTATCGTTCTATTTAATTAGTTTTATTTAATATTTCCAGTTGGTGTTAATGCCTCGCTTTACAACAGTCTATTTTTTCAACACTCAATACTAAAAATCCCCCTTAAACCCTCCAATAGTTTTACACCATTATCCATGTAGCTGTTTTGTAACACCCCAAAAATTATGGTATCAAATTTTAGTCTATTCATATACTATTAAATATCATTTTTAATATCACATATTTGGTTTGCCTCTCATAATTTTTTTAATAGAAATCGCTAGTATTATTAAAAAAGTGAAAATATCCAAAATTACAATTGGAGTTTACAACTATCATCGTAAACTAAATACATAATTTGGACATTTTCCTATAATATTGAAACTAGTCATGTTAGATCATATAAGGATCATACATGAAAAAGGTTAAAAACCCAATCAAAAGACTCATACAAAAATATATACGAACAAATCTGACTACATCGATAAATGAACCACAAAAGAGAATAAAACTATTGAAAGACCACATAGAACCACAAATCAGAACCAAGTGTTGCGAGAAACTATCCACGAACTCAAAATCACACATCCATATTCAATCTAAAGGTTCGTAGTAAGGAATATCAACAAGATTTCAAATAAAACACCATCTTGATTAGTTGTGGCATCGTCAACTCTAACCTTGAGAAAACATAAATAAAAGAACGGCCAAACAACTGAGAAAAAATGAAAAATGTGCCACAAAGACAGAGATGAATGTACCACAAAGGCAAAATTATTATTATTAAAAAAACTAAAAAAAAAAGAGTAAAGAAAATCGACGATCAGCAACCATCTCCAAAATCGATACCGTCGTTGGCTAAACAAAATCAAGGGAAAAATTGATATGAACTATAAAAAAAGACAAACCCAAAGCAAAAAATAAAAAAATAAAAATTGGAGGGGGATTCTCTCATAATTCTAAAGCTAAGACTTATTCTCTATTTATATAATAACAAATTTAGTCATCGACAATTTTTATCTCAATACACTTGATTATCAAGTAATTATCCTCCACTAGAATTATAATAAAATGTAATTTAATTATTAACTAGAATTTAAGTGAATATGTATTTATGAATGAATTGGTTTTTTTGACATTATTTATTTATCTATTTCAAATTTCAAAATGGTGAGTTTTAATTTGGATGATATCACTTACTTGACCATACTTTTAGAACTATAAAGGGTGTTACATGGTGAGCTTGCCTTAGAGCTGTAAAGATGATGTTCTTTATCACAATATAACTCGGATGAAAAGTTTGTTATTTTGGTGGAGGTTTGAACCTTTGAAATTGAGGAAGGATAGGTTAGATGAAAGAGGAGGAAGAAGAAAGCAAAGAGAGTAGCTCATGCAATTAAATGTCTCAACTTGTGATTAAGTTAAACATTAGGATATAACTTGAATTTCATTCAACAATGGTAGCATTGAATTTTAATTGTATGGCTCAGGTTGCGTAATTTTCCTATTGCCTTGTAATGCTTTGTGTGTCCACGTCCCATTACCAATTCAAATATCCTCCCTGCTTTTGCGAAAAAGTTAAAACAAAACAGACCACCTCATTCGTCATACATACTTGCACTGCACATGAAAAGGGTAAATCCTTAATTGCCAGAACTATAACCCATGAAAACATGTATAAATATATCAGGTTCATGATATACAGATAAGCTTCATCAAAATAAAATATTATAGAACTAACTTGCCATTAAATATAGAGAAAATAACCTCAGTGACCAAAAATGCCTTATAATATACGATTTTAACCAACTTTTTTTGGATTTGCCAAAATGACCAACTAAATCGCAATGTGATCGATAATTCGCAACGCGATTTCCGGTATCGCAAATCAGTTTTCAGATTCACAACGCGAACATCGACTATCGCAACGCGATTTTCCAAATTCGTTGCGATAGTCCAAGTTCGCGTTGCGATTTCTTCCAAATTCGTTGCGATAGTCCAAGTTCGTGTTGCGATAGTCAAAGTTCACGTTGCGATTTATTCCAAATTCGTTGCGATAGTCCAAGTTCGCGTTGCGATAGTCGAAGTTCGAGTTGCGATTTATTCCAAGTTCGCGTTGCGATAGTCCAAGTTCGCGTTGCGATAGTCGAAGTTCACGTTGCGATTTATTCCAAGTTCGCGTTGCGATAGTCCAAAATCGCAACGACTGGTGGTATTGCATTTGTTTCTTAAGAATTTTCTCTAAAAAGATAGTATTCGCGCGGACGTGTTGAAGACACGTACGACCACGACCACGACCACGACCACGACCCGACCCGAGACGAGACGAGACGAGACGAGACGAGACAGACGGCGGCGACGGCGGCGCGCGAGAGTCTCCCTTGTTCTCTATCACTCAACAAGGAAGTGAGAAAGCCAAGCCTTAAATACCATTCCCAATAGTGTTTTCAATACTATGTGGGATTGAGCATTACCAACACTTGTTCCCAATACTATGTGGGATTGAGCCTTAAATAGTGATATTATTTGTGAATTATAGTTAATGACTTTAGTATTTGTATGAAAAGTATTTGTGGTTCGTTTAGTTTTCATGCAATTCTAATTTATTTTCAATTGATTGTAATTGCACGATAACAAATTTTTTTATTCTCGCGAGTGATGCAATTTTTTTTGAACGTTTTGCTTAAAATTGCAATAATCGCGATTGATTGTATATTGACTTTTAATTATGACATATTTAATCGTATAATACTAATACAATTGGTTGATGATTCAGTTGTTTTAAGGTGCATGATTGTTAATTGTTTCCTGAATAATCACATAGTATTGGAAACAAGTGTTGGTAATGCTCAATCCCACATAGTATTGGAAACACTATTGGGAATGATATTTAAGACTTGGCTTTCCCACTTCCTTGTTGAGTGATAGAGAACAAGGGGGACTCTCGCGCGCCGCCGCCGTCCGTCTCGTCTCGTCTCGTGGTCGTGGTCGTGGTCATACGTGTCTTCGACACGTCCGCGCGAATACTATCTTTTTAGAGAAAATTCTTAAGAAACAAATGTAATACCACCAGTCGTTGCGATTTTGGACTATCGCAACGAATTTGTAATAAATCGCAACGCGAACTTGGACTATCGCAACAAATTTGGAATAAATCGCAACGCGAACTTGGACTATCGCAACGAATTTGGAAAATCGCAACGCGAACTTCGACTATCGCAACGTGAACTTGGACTATCATAATGCAATAGTCGAAGTTCGCGTTGCGAATCTAAAAACTGATTTGCGATACCGGAGATCGCGTTGTGAATTATCGATCGCATTGCGATTTAGTTAGTCATTTTGGCAAATCCAAAAAAAATTGGTTAAAATCGTATATTATAAGACATTTTTAGTCACTGAAATTATTCTCTTAAATATAAACCACCTATTTGAATGTGGGATATAGATAATTAATATCACTCCATATATCACATCATATATATTTGGAACAACACATAATCATACGTTAAGTGCATAAATTTATAAAAATTTAAAATGATGAAGATAAATGATCAAAAAATATTTAAATAATATAAAAATTTAGAAATTTTAAAAGATGATTGTTTATATCAACACCAATCCATCATTATAATATGTCGTATAAGCATAATATTAATAAAAAAATTATGATTAATGAGATTAGTTCAAGTGATAAATAACTTGATATCACTTAATCATGTTTCAAGTTTGAGTCTTTGTGTATGTAAACAAAAATCTATGCTTAGAGACTTACCTATCAAAATCAAGTATACAATGCGAGTCGGTATGGATTAATAAGGGCAAAGCCCTTAAAACAAAAACAAATTAAGATGATTTTCATACACTGACCACTCACCTAATATGCAGACGTTTTCGAACTCAACGTTTCACTAAGGACTCGTACGTAGCTTTCAAACTGTATAAACTATAAACTTGATATCATCTGTTGGATTTGGTCAGTCTAATTATATGGGAAATTTGGAACAGGATCTTATTATTTTTCTACATAGCCGGCCCTTTGTTCAATTATATAATCATATTGGACCATGAAAATCTAATCATGTTGCACTATTGAATCTTGAGGGCTCCCTTCGAAAGCAATGAAGCACCAACTTTTACAGGCTAAACGTTATTTCAAGCTTAAATTTTCCTGTGTTATACCTTATTTCCAGCTATGTCGACCAAATAAACCTTCCAAGTTGCCGCGGTGATTTTCTACAGTGAGTCATAAGTCATCTGGCTATTCGGACCTCAGCTTCCCCGCACCGCAGCCGGATTTCTCTTTTTCCAAACACCATTTGTCACCAAAGATAGCTTCAGTTGACTGCGGATGCCGAGCAAGATCATACAGAACCCAATATTTATCCCCGGACGTTAGCTTTGAGTCAACTCGGTTGCAGAAGACGGAGAAAGCTCACAGTTCTAAACTTCAATAGGAAGGAAAAGAAGAAGGTGAAAGTAAATGCAATGGCGACTGTGTCGTCAACTGACAGTGGATGTTTTAGTAGCGAATTAGGTGGCGAAGATGAAGAGACTGAAACTCTAATTTCTAATTCAAGAAGCTTCTCTGACGGTTCATCTTTTGAGTTGGATCAATCGTTGGCCGAGGAAGACTCTCCCGTGGAAATCAAGAGGAACAAGAAAAAAGTTAACGGTAAGAAGATGAAGAGACTAAGAAGCTTTGGGTCAAAGAAATACAAAGGATCGTTAGCAGAGAAAAACTCCATGGAGAGGTTCTATTCTGAAAAGGACGATGATGATACCGCCGTGCAAGGCGGAGCGGAGGAGAAGAAATCGGAAGATCCTTATAAAGACTTCAAGAGATCGATGCTGGAAATGATAATGGAGAAACAGATGTTTGAAGCAAGAGATTTTGTAATCTGGAGGGGTTCTATAAAACTATCTCTGAAATGCATGTAAAGGCGAGTCTTCCCCTATGTGAAACAGACCAAGCAATAAAAACAAAAAAGAGATTTTGAAGGCATTCCCGTTTCTTTGACAATAGCCTGTTTTTCTTCTTCTTTGATTTCGAAATAAAATAAAGTAATAAAACGGAAGAGGAGTAGTTGGTTTTACCTTAGGGGTGTGAGCGCCTCGTCGAAGTCGTCGTCGTTGGAGCGGCGGGAAGTCGAGGGGTCATGCTCAGTTTTAGAGGGTTTAGTAGTTGTTTTGGGATTTATTGTTTCAAATATGAGTTTAAGAGGAGAGTAGAAGGTGTTAGGCTCATTTTTGGTTGGGTTTTAGCTCGAACAACCTCTGTTGATGGTAGTCGAAGGGGGAGCACCACCGATGTACGGTGGCCGGACTTGGATTTCGATCTCTAGTGAGCATCAGCCGACCAAATGGAGGGAGGGTTGAGAGAAAAGAAAACAGAAAGGGTAAGGTTCATTTTTGTTGGGGAAACCATGCCTGAGTCCCCCTAATTTCAGCGTGTTTTCAAGTTTTGGTCTTTTCATCCTTTAATTTTTATTATTTCGATTCCAACACATTAATTTCACAAGTTCTCATTCTAATTCACTAACTTATCTCGAACCAAATCCCCTAACATTTAATTTTCTTGCAAATTTATCCTTTATGCACTTTACATAGCAGTTTAAATTTATGTCCTTTATCTTCTTTATTTATATTTCAGTACCTTTTTATTTATTCTTTGCAATTTACTTTCAGTCTTTTTATTATTTAATACTTTAACCATTACAATATTTTATCTATGTCCATGTAGTTTATGTAATTCAAATTTTGGCCTGGAATATTTTATGATCGCATTTTGGTCACTTTATACATGTTCACGCACTGCATTGTGTAAATATATGTTATGATTCTAATTACTTGTACATATAAGTAGTAAAAGCACTTTAAGTCTCATCTTTTTAATTTTATTTGATCTTCTTTTTGAATTATTTCATTTATTTATTTAATTTAAATTTAAGACTTTGTTTCTTATTTTAAATTTTTTTACTTAATTTTAATTATTTCTTATTTAATTATTTCCAAGTTTGTTTAAATTTACTTAAAGGTAACCCATTTTTAAAGAATCCATTTCTTTTCCTTTCCTAATTTATGGATTGACTTTTTCTTTCTTATTTTGTTTAAATTGATGGCAAATGTTTCTTTTAATTATACCTTTTTTTATTTGTTTTTCTAGAAATAAACTTAATCTAAAGCTTCATCTAGCCATATGTCCAGTTGGGTCATTTAAGTCTTTCTGTAGCAGTGGCACGATTGATTCGAGTGGTTCCATCAAAATTATTGTTTTAACAATAAGGTCCCATACAAGTTCTTCCATGTTACATTTTTTAATATATTTTGTTTCTTACTAATTTGATATTTTCCTTTTAGTTTATTTTAACGTTTTATGTGCTTTTTGGACTTATGTTTTAAGTTTTACCATTTATAAATTCATTATTTTTTCTTTTTAATTTGAGTTTGTATTTTTTATGTTTTATTAATTGAACCTTCGGATAGTTTTTTCACTTTAGGTTAAACCCTTAGATTTAGATTTGGCATATTGTAGTCCTTTAAATTATATTAATTAGATGAATTTCTAATTAGGTCCATACCTTTATACTCAAGGTTCTGAATTAATTATTTGATCCAATGATTGGTTAAAATTAATTATGATTAATATTAGAGCCTTTATTTTTAGATTTAGTCCTCTAGGTCCTTTAAATTTCATAATCTGACACCTTAAGTTAAAGAGAAACCTTAATTAACCCACCTAGCATAACTAGGTTATATAATTAATTGTTTGATTGCATTTTGATTTTAAAAAATAATAAGACAATTTTAATTTATCAATGAATTAATAGTGTATTCTCCACGTTATGCTTAGGCGGTGACCACAAGTAATTTTCGAAGTAAAATAACATCCTTTTTAAAATCCTATATCATGATTTCTTAATCTTTTAAGACAATGTTTATTTATTAGGATCAATAAAAAAGTTTTCGCATTAAATGTCCTAGGGTGATCATTATCGTCTTAGCAAATTGATATCATTTTTCAAAATTTTCATAAATAATGATTTTTAATCAAAATTTTCAATTTTAAAATATAGAGTAATTGACTATGTACCAATTTCTGGGTGCTGTGGGCATGGACGAAACCAGGGGAAGGCAAATGGAGCCTTGGTCCCCTTCAATTATATTTTTAATTATTAATTAATATAGAAAAATATATATTTTTTAAAAAATAAATAAAGAAAAATTTATGAGGCCCCCTCTATTAAAAAATTGTATTTACAGAAAATAAAAAAAATTGTATTTTAACCTCCGCTATAATAAACTATTCCTAGTTTCGCCGTTGGCTATAGGGATTAATCATTCCCCACACGTAAACGACTTATGAACTTGATTTCTTATTTTCGTAGACCAAAATTTAGTATAATTGATAAAAATAATTTTTTTTATTAAAATTACATAATTTTAAGTGTTACGATCGCACCTTAAAAACAATCGGTGACGACTCCTAACTTTTCATAAAAAACCTATTATTTTTCTAAACGTCGAACCATTCTTACAAACTTTTCATTTTAAATCTTTTCAAAAATCCATCATCGTAACTAATCGACTTTTCCCCAAAGGACCGATTGCGACATTTATTTATGAATTGTTCAAAACTTGAAATAAAATACATTCGTTAGTATCAAATTTAAAATATTCCATATTCATTCAACTTTTAAAACTCCACTTTAATAAGTTAAAAAATCAAATAAGATTTGTATTAATAACATTATACATTCATGTTCGACATTATTTTAAGTCAAATAATTTTTTTAATAAAAAATCAAATAATATCTTAATTATGTATATAAGAATACTTATAAAATTATATTATTTGTAATTTTATTTTCATATATTATAACATTAATTCATGTATGACATTATTTCTTAGGTACTTTCAATTATTATGCATATATATATACTGTAAAATAAACTATATATTACGGACGATAAGTTTCAGGAATGTGGATAAAATGTTGAGCATTAGTATACCATTAACTAAGGATACTTTACAAAATTAATTCAAAAGTTTTATTTCAATTTGACAGAAGAGACCTATCTTATTATTATTATATATCCACCTTATGAAAGCACGCGCACACACGTATATCTCTTTCATTTGCATTTTCCAAAGACTAAATCCACAAGTGACAAGCATCAATACTTCAATAGAAACCAATAAAATAAATTTCATTCTATGAGGTTTCCCCAAACCTGCAAAAACCTAAAGGAAAGATGAAACAAATCTGTCATCCAAAGAAAAACGATGAATGTATCTACAAAGTATTGATTTTGATTCTAAAAACAACCCAATTTCCCTAACAATTCAACCAGGGAATCTGAGCATCAACTTACTCATATAAAACAAAGAACAACTGCAGATGAAAATGTAACTCTTCCAACAGTTGGTTTAAGATACTCTTCTATATGTTCTTCGATATATGACTGCGATAATCCGGCCAACCGTTGGTTTAACATTGAGCCTTCCCGCTTCCAAGTGTGAGCTCAAGATCATCCAATCCTACTTCATGGATCCTCTCTCCTTCCCATGGCTTCACCTGTCCACTCTCAAACTGAAACTCCGAACCATGCCCTTTCTCTTTGATCAAATCATTGGGCAAACTTTGTGGAGCAAAGGGTTTCACGAGGTTAAATGTGGGAGAAGTTGGCATTTGAGATGTAGAAGGTGCAAACTTTTGAAAGCTGATCCATTGACTGGGTTCAACTGTCGACGTACCAGACTCATCACATTCAGGTATAGTAGCCGGGGCGTGAAAATGACGGTGAGTTGGACTAGCCGGAGCAGAGACTGCATAAAAAGGGTAGTTAAAAGAGGCCATGGACTCTTTGCCAATGGCTTCCCAGTTTGGAATTGGCTTGGGATTTCTTGAAGTTGGAGACGAAAGGGGTGGTGTCACCGGGGCACTGTTTGAGATTCGGAGAGGTGGCAGAGATGAAGGAATGGCGCTTCGAAGGAACGGGAGGAGACTAGATGGGTTATTAGCATCTAGCCTAGAGGGACTAGGGAAAGAAGAGGAGGACTGACTTGACATGAAGGAATTGGGCTTGGACATGAAGGAATTGGGCTTGGACTCATTGGACTCGGATTTTGGGAGGAAAATGGGGTAACTTTAGCTGAACTGCCTAGTATATCAACTGAAACCGGTGGTGGCTTACATCCCTTAACAACAAATGCAATTAAAAACAAAAAATTATCAACATTACTTGCTTTTATCCATCAAGAGCCAAGAGAATTATACAGGAAACAATGAACTGTTAAAAAAGAAAAGAAAAGAAAAGAATGAGACAATTAATACCAACCTAATCAAGAAAATTTTTTCAATGTTCATCAATGTTTCATTTCAGCTATTTAATGAAGCTTCAGTTCTAACACAGATCAATGAATGATTGTCTATGTCACAACTGGTAGTTTGAAGAATAACCACTTCCATTTTTTATCCAATATTTAACGTTTCATCAATATTTCATTTCAGCTATTCAATAAAGTTCCAGTTCCAACACAGATCAATGAATGATTCTCCCTAATTAACAACTGCTAGTTCAAGAACAAAAACTTCCATTTTTCACCCAAGTAAATAAACGCAAAACCAGAATCAAATTTGAACAGATCAAAAAGATCCAGAGAGCAAAATCAACCTAAAAACAAATTGGAACTAGATCAAAGTAAATTTGAACAAAAAATTGAACAGATCTACTAATTGGTAAGTAGTGAAAAAAGAGGAAGCAAATGGTAAATTAGATACCTTTCGATAAGTGGTGCCATCTTCTTCAACAACCCAACCAGCCTCGGCACAAAGAGCTTTGAGAACTTCATTGTTATCACAGTGGTTGGGTAGATTGTAATTCCCTCGAGCTCTAAGCCCAGTATATATCTTAGCAGCCATAGCTCTCCTCCTCCT